GGGTCCGGCCTGCTCTGCCTCTAGATGGGCAGAGCCAGCTGTCAGTCACGCAGCTGGGCGGATCCAGACATAATTGTCGGGATCCGCTTCAGCTGCGGCGTCTCAGTATATAGGGAGCTGTAGCTCCCTATATACTGAGCTTAGGGTGACGGGAGGATGCTAGTTTGTGTCCTCCCGTTACCCAAAGGAGAACTATGGGGGAAAGACTTAACCCCATAGTTCTCCTTTTAAGAAATGTTTCTCTGTTTAGTTTCTGAGACATAATCCATTAACCATTTTGTAGGTACAATTTGGGGCAATATTTGGCTGTGTAGATTGGAGGGATGTTTCTGTGTAGACTCGGGAGGGATATTGGGTTTTATGTAGGACAGTGTAGGGTGGTGGAATGTAGTCTATGTAGACTCTGTGGTAGGATATATGGTTTATATAGGACTGTGTAGGGTTTATATAGGACTGTGTAGGGTTTATATAGGGCTGTGTAGGGTTTATATAGGGCTGTGTAGGGTTTGTGTGGGAATGTTGGGTTTATGTAGGACTGTGTAGGGTTTATATAGGGCTGTGTAGGGTTTATATAGGGCTGTGTAGGGTTTGTGTGGGAATGTTGGGTTTATGTAGGACTGTGTAGGGTGTGTAGAGTGGAGGGATGTAGGATGATGTAAAGTCTATTTTAGGACTGTGTAGGAATCCATGTATCAGATTGTGGAGGGTGGGAAGGATTTAGAACTACTCCCTCTTGAGTAGATGGGGGCGGGGGTGTAGGGTCTATGTAAGGGTTTTGTAGGACTGTAGGGTTCATTTAGGGTCTATATAGGTCTTATAGGTCTGTGTAGGATTGTGTAGGATTGTTAGTAGGATTGTGTAGGATGGTGAGATGAAGGGTCCACATAGGACTGTAGAGGGATGCAGGGTAGAGGAATGTGGAGAGCAGGAGTGATTTGGTGTGATGTAGGGTGGAGAAATGTAGGGATTGTGGTGAGTGGTGGGGATTTGTTGAGGTTGTTTAGGGGTTTGGTGCAATGTATGGTTGTAGAGGGATATGGGCTCTATGTACGGACTGTGGAGAGCGGGAAGGATTTGGAATGATGTGGGACAGTGTAGGGTCTATGTTGGAAATGTGGAGGGTGGGAGGTAATTGGAATGAAGTAGGCCTGTGGAGGGATGTAGGCTCTGTAGAGAGTAGGAATGTAGGATGGAAGGTCTGTTTGGAGTAGGAGTGTGGGGTTGAGGGATGTAGGGTCTGTGTAGAGGGATGTAGGGCCAGTGGAGGGATGTAGGGTATGTGTAGGGTGGAAGGATGTAGGGTCTGTGGAGGGATGTAGGGCCTGTGTAGGATGGAGGGTTGTAGGGCCTGTGTAGGATGGAGGGATGTAGGGTCTGCGTATGGTAGAGGGGATGTAGGTTCTGTGTAGAGTAGGAGTGTAGGGCGGAGGTATGTAGGTTCTGTGTAGGGCGGAGGTATGTAGGGTCTGTGTAGGGGGGAGGCATGTAGGGTCTGTGGAGGCATGTAGGGGCTGTGTAGGGTGGAGGCATGTAGGGGCTGTGTAGGGTGGAGGCATGTAGGGTCTGTGTAGGGTGTAGGGATGTAGGGTCTGCGTATGGTAGAGGGGATGTAGGTTCTGTGTAGGGCGGAGGTATGTAGGTTCTGTGTAGGGCGGAGGTATGTAGGTTCTGTGTAGGGCGGAGGTATGTAGGTTCTGTGTAGGGCGGAGGTATGTAGGGTCTTTGTGGGGTCTGTGGAGGGCTGTAAGGTCTCTGTAGGGTCTGTGGAGGGCTGTAGGGTCTGTGGAGGCATGTAGGGCGGAGGCATGTAGTGTCTGTGGAGGGTGGAGGCATGTAGGGTCTGTGGAGGCATGTAGGGTCTGTGGAGGCATGTACGTAGGGTCTGTGTAGGGTGGAGGGATGTAGGGTCTGTGGAGGGATGTAGGGTCTGTGGAGGGTCTGTGGAGGGATGTAGGGTCTGTGGAGGGATGGAGGGTCTGTGGAGGGATGTAGGGTCTGTGGAGGGATGTAGGGTCTGTGGAGGGATGTAGGGTCTGTGTAGGGTGGAGGGATGTAGGGTCTCCGGAGGGATGTAGGGTCTGTGTGGTGTAGGAGTCATTTGAGGTGACACACAGCTTTGTAGCGTGGATGTAGGTTACGTCGTCTGGAAGATCCAGACAAGAAGTCTTGGCAGACGTATGATTGTGTGATTCCCATGATGGCACGATGCCGCAGGCTCTCTTCCTGGACACGAGAATCATTGTTTTGTAAATGACATTCTTCAGTTGCGTGACTATGTTGCCTATTCCATTGTTTGTACTCTGGTTATGACCTCATCACCTTAGCTGGCACCTTTTCATATTTACATACGACGTCAGTGGCGATCATGCCAGCCTAGTAAACACGCCGACTTATGATTGTATTGGCAACCGTCCTGTCACTCATCATGTGGAAGCTCCGGTATATGATGTCAATTTCTGTTTGTGAGGAATATTGTTGTTCTTGGATTGTCCGTTTCCTCGGTGTGGATAATAATATTTCTTTTAATTTTGGCACGCACGACATGCAGGAGTTGTTCGATCTTATCACAGTGTGGCAGCTTCACCACAACGATCCTGTTCTTCGGCATAAAGACGTCTAATCCGCAATTTCTGATACTTTGTTCTAAGAGAGAACGCAATGTCCATGAACCCGTTCCGGATGTGTCTATAGTCTGCCATCTTGTGGTCACTTCTGAGAATGCACCCGCTCTTTTCACCATAAATAAAGCCTGGTTCTGAAATTCGGGTCATTTTCTGTCTAGTGTTTGAAAGATTGTAATCACATTTAATAGGCATGTTCCGATAACAAGTACAGATACTTTTCCAGGACCAAGACTAGACAATAACTCAAAAGTAAGGATGCAGCTGTCATATTTAAGGAGCATTGGCTACTGTGCATCGCTGTTTTAATGTATGATTTGTTCTATAGTGTGTGTGTGTGTGTGTGTGTGTTAGGGATGTCCCGATTCCACTTTTTTAAGACTCAAGTAGTTTCCCTCATGTTCTTGCCGATACCAATTACCGATACTTTTTCTCAAAGGGACATTTTCTTCTAAGACAATAGATACTAATGATTTTAGGGCAGTTTTTTACCAGACTGCGTCAAGATCTCACCAGAGCTCAATATAGATCTCACCAGGGCTGCGTCCAGATGTCACCAGGGCTGCGTCCAGATGTCACCAGGGCTGCGTCCAGATGTCACCAGGGCTGCGTCCAGATGTCACCAGGGCTGCGTCCAGGACCTGTACGCAGCCCTGGCGACACCTGTACGCAGCCCTGGCGACGCCTGTACCCCAGATGTCCCCGGGGCTGCCAATGAGTCTCTCCAAGGCTGCATATAGATGTCACCAGGGCTGCCTATTGGGTCTCTGCACGCTGCTGACAGGTGCTGTGCTAAGCACGCTCTACGGGCGTGTAGTGAGCCGAATGGAGCGGGTGCCGGTGCTTTGTTGAGAATGCCGACCCAACGCTCTGAGGCTACCTCAAGCTGTGCCTGCACCAGGAATCAGGATGAGGAGGCGTGGGACCTGGCAGGCAGTGTCAAAGACAGCTACTGCCATGTCCCTGGAAGGCTGCCTCAGGACCCCACAAGAGCGGGATCTGAGGCAGCCGATACAATGTAAAAATTTAAAGGGCCAGTATCGGTCTTCAGTATCGGGGCATTTACTCGTACAAGTACTCGTGACAATGCCCTGTTTTGGCCCTCGATACTAGTATCGGTATTGGGACATCACTAATAAATATAAATATATATCTAGCAGCATTTCATACCATTTCATACTTGTCCAAGTACTCACAGATGCAATTACTGATACATTCATCTTTCGTGTCATGTGACAAGTTTTTCTAAAACAATACAGAGTAATGATTTCAAGACAGTGGTGGAGTGCCAGAGCCCCATTGCAACTACAGTGACCCTGGGAGTTCTCATGATAATGCCAGAAGTCGGCACTGGTATCTGGACATCTCTAATAATTGTTCATGGCTCTGTGACTCACCTGTTGTTGTCTTGCTCAGTGTGTAGCATATTTTGCTGATTACATATGCAGGCTCTGCTTCCTACTTTTTGTGTTCCTGCTCATTGTAAATTAATTACCGTTCCTTTCATACTGCAATTTTCACACTGACTGGAAACAATGTTTGAGAACTGATCTTCTCAGCATCCCTTTTAGGGAAGAACCCAAATCACTTTCCATGAAATACTCATAGCAGGAAATCTAATATCTGCATATAAAAGAATTGGATACATAAAAAAACGTAAGCTTGAAAATCAAATGCATTCCAAGCGTTAAAATGAGTGAGGATATGTACTCGCCGAAATCACATGGAGGGGAATTTATCAGTTTAGCAGTTGCAACCAATCGGCTTCTCCTTTTCAGTTTATTCAGTTGAGATTTGAAAATGAAAGAGAGAAGCTGATTGGTTGCCGTGCGCGGCTGCTCCAGATTTTGTCTGCTCCAGTTTTGATAAATTCCCCTGATAGTTTCCATTAAATGACTAAGAGGCAGATTTATAACTCTTCCATATAGCCGGGTGAATGCTGGCCGCATGCCATTACCACCACTAGATGGAGCCGAGGAGCATAAGAAATTCCTATGCTTCTCTGTGCCATATAGTGGCGGCAGTGCCGTGTGAACAGCATTCACCCGGCTGTACGCTGAGCGGAAGATTTATTAATCACCGCTACGTGGAGCGGATGTGACGGCAAGTTTCAGGCTACAAGAGTTGTCAGGTTGGTCTATTATGATTGCCGAATGGCTTGTAATCTTGCCTAGCAGTGCTGGAACTCTGGATTCAGGTCCCATCTACCGGCAATGTTCACATCATGGCAGTACTAAATGCTGTCACTAGATGGCAGTGTGACATCAGTAAAAAAAAGATAGTTCTATTTTCACTTCATCTAAAACTTTTTTTTTAAATTTTTTTCTTATGTCTGTGATGGGCTACTCTGCTCCTCTGGGGGGGCCCGGGACCACAGCAAATTGGGTGTTTATTGTGTGTGCATTAAAATGTTTTGTGTTTTTTTTTTTTTTGATTGATTTAAAATAAAAAATGTCAGCCATCATTTTTTTATTCCTCATGGCTCTGAAGCTGAATTGCAGGGAAGCAGCTAATACAGTTAAAGTATGGCCATGTGGGTTGTTCTGTTCAACATGTCATGTGATCCAGACAGTCCTACCAGACAGCACAGATAGAGCCTCTGCTGCAGCAGTAGCACAGCTTGGCCAAGTGCTGGGAATTAGAGCTGGTTAATGATAACAAACATGCGAATTAGAGGAGCACCGAAATACAAAATTTTGAAACCAAAAATGTTTTTTTTTCTAACTTTTGTAAACATTTTTAAAAATATATTAATTTTACATTTTATCTTTTATTTTTTTACTTTTAGAGGCTTTGGGGAAATATTGGGGGTCTAAACAGACCCCTGATATTTCCCTGTGAGAGCCCACACACCGCTCTCCTCGATCTGTGATAAGAGGCTGAGCCGTGTGAGGGGAGAGACGCCGGGCGTTCACATCGCTCTCCTCCCGCACCACTCAGGAGCCTGCGACAGTTTCTCTCCTCCCCCCCTGGGACACAGAGCAGTGCCCAGCGGGGAGGAGAGAAAGAACAGATGCATCGGCAGAAAAATTGCACTTTCGGCCAATGTGTTTCGGCGGCCAATATATCGGTGCATCCCTAATACAAAAATATTTTTGTACTAGTGTTTGTATTATTTTTAGTTTTTTTTTTTTATTTTATACAATTTTTTATTTTTTTTAAGTTACAAAATTTCTTCGGTAGACGACGTTTAATTTTTTTTAATGACGCCCACTAGTGGGAGGTGCTTACCTCTGCACTAAACAGCATGCGTGTAACGTGTGAGTGCCTTTCAGTGCAGTAGCCCGGGTCGATGTGTAGATGTCCTCCAAGGGGGCGGGTCCATGACAGCCTGGTTTCGGAGGAAGTGGGATAAAGGACTGATGACATCTAGTGGCAGAAAGGAGTCACTGCGGTGGACGGCTCTTGATTGAAGGACGCGTATTGCAGAAACAGCTTTTGCATTCTGAAAGCGTTTGCTGGGCAAAGTTCTATCAAAAGAAAATGTTTCAGAGTAGAACATCCGACCTCTTTTTTCCTCCATTGTTTGTGTGTTAATGATGAAGGGGGCTGTGGCACTCTTTGTGATCGGTGGGATGTTTCAATAACAGAACTCTGTGTTTTTGTCTTCCAGCGAGATCAGTCGGCTGGATCTGGGGCTGATCGTGGAGATGTGGAACAAAGGCCTCATCTGGGACACCTTGGTGGGGACGTTGTGGATCCCTCTACGGACCATCCGCCAGTCAGATGAGGTGAGATCTCTTTTACTGTACAGCCGAAGCTCAGAGATACAAATGGAGAATATATATATTTTTTACATGTTTCTTTGTTATAGTCAGGATAATTGTCCGCATTGGTGGACCCCCTTATCGTTTTCGTCCCCATTAGAGTTCCCCTTTTATATTATTGCCCTCACGTACCTTCCTTTTACTTCATTAGTAGATCAGAGGTGGAAGCGGGTCGTGGAGCAGGCTGCAGGAGAGGATGGAGGAAGATACTCTTCTGTCCTCCTGTAATGCTGAGGTTGTAGGTTGTGTTTGAGGTCACCAATTGCTAGGTTGCCAGCGGCCCTAGCAACCAATGACTGAAGAGGAGGGGGCCCTGCTGTGGGCTATGGCTGGCAGTGAAGGCATTAGCCTCGGACCCCGGCGCATCCACCGTAAGCCAGCCATAACCGAGCGTAGGCCAGCCATAACCAAGGTGGTCCGGACTGAACCGCCACTCGGTCTGTGTTTCCTTACCTTGTGCCGGACAGGAACAGCCAAAGGGCTGGATGTAGCCCAGGGGCTGTAAAATGCCCAGGTCTGGCCTAAAGGTTGGGCTATGATTAGGGGTCGGAGCATGTAGGCCCATGCATATTGATTCCACCAGAAAAGCTACCTGATGATAGGTTCCTTACCTTTAAAGCCCAACTCTGTCTTCTGCCTTCTAATTATTCTTTAGGCCGGTCACATGACAAGGTCCTGTTCTTGTTTGGATGTTCTTTCACAGTGGGTGGCCCTCGATTCAGAGAGCTGCACTGACGTGATTTACCTCAGAGCCACTCTGATCGACGTTACATTATGAGTGCAGGGTGTCGTGGTGACTCCTCAGGGGGCTGGTTCATAACACCCTGCACTCTCAGTATGTCCTCATTCTATGGGGTTGAATGACGTTAGACATCATTAAGCCTGGAAGACTGAGGACATCTAGTGGCAGAAAGTAATTACTGCAGGGAATATTTCTGGAGAGTCGGCAGCAGTGCAAGACCAGAGTAATGACCAGCATGCTGGAGAGATGGTCGTAATTTGTCATCTGCACTGGTCACCCTCTAATCACAGCATTTCCCAACTGCTTGTCAGGAATAATTTTCATTGACGTGTTGTCTTTCTTTCAGAAGTGTCCCTCACTGCTTCTGTGTCTTAATGGGGGGCCAGGGTGTGTGTGTGTGTTGGGGGGTGTCAAAGATCCATGGGCCCCCACGCTGTGCCTCCTGATGTCACAAATTTACATGTCAAAAGAGGTCCCCACCGCACTCCTTACTGGTATTTCCTTTTTATGTTGGGTGCTGCAGTGATACTGGATGGCGCCACTTCAAATCCAAGTAGTATAATGGCTCTGCGATCACCCTCCTCCTGAGCTCCCAAGATACACTACCCAGATAGCAAGAAATTGAGCTGCAAGTTTGAAAATGACTTGCTAAACTATTGCAGACTTGCCGAGCTTCACAATGTTGTTGCACAATTACAGCAAGTCTGCATTGCAAGCCTCCAGACCAGCGAGCTTGCAGAGCTCTTGCTAAGACCTGCAGGACTCTTGCTGTAGACTTGCCAAGCAAATTTGCTACAAATTCAAAAAGTGTCGCCTAGAACTTGCGCTGCGAGTGTTCCGCAAGTCCACCACCTGCCAGGAATATGTGCGGCAAGTTAACAAGAATTACAATTTCATACATCAATAAAATGACCACTCGTTGAAGATTTCACTTCGGTGTGCTGGTGATATATACTTTACTACTTAAATTTCCATGTCAGGCTCTTCAGAAGTTTGCAGAATAGAGATTTTTGTGTGCGGTCATAAATTGCTTTTACACCGAATTCGGCAGGAAATGACTTTCTCTCATCACTCTGGCTGTCTGTGAAAGGTATAAAAATATAAGGAAAAGTCCCCAGCATATTGTCCCTAAATTAGGTTTCTGGACCTGACCCCTCCTCCCCCCTCAAAAAATATTTGGTCCCCACAGCTTTCAATTCTGACATGCACAGAACAGGGAATGCTCATAGTGCATCTTGGGAGCTCAGGAGGAGGATGATCTCAGAGCTACTACATTGAGATCTTCTACATGCGCCTGGCTGCTGCAGACATGGGGACCACTAGTGCCAAGAAGACAGAGTTGGCATTTTGCCAATATTAAAATGAGTTTGTTGGGCCTTTTTCCACTTGTGAACAATGCGTGACGGTCTGTTGTATCTTTCTAGCTTCTATAATGATATTGTAAAGAACGGCAGACATGGATTAGTAATTGTTTCCTGTCCTTGTTCCCTTATTTTATGAACAGGAGGGGCCCGGGGAGTGGTCGGCGCTGGAGGCCGAGGTGTTGATGAAGGACGACGAGATCTGCGGAACCAGGAACCCCACTGTCAATAAGATCTTGCTGGACACCAGGTTCGAGCTGCCTTTTGGTGAGTTTGGATCTTTTGTCACTGTTCCTGTTACTTTTCATCCCATACGCATCCAACACAAACCAAAGATCTGCAATGCTGGATGTAAGAACAACGGTGGACCTCACTGACCATGTGTGAGTTGGCCAGATTAAACTATATACTGAGCGAATGCCGTTTGCATTGCATTCCCACCACTGGATGGCGCTAAAGAGCATAGAAAATGGCCATCTTCTCTCAGCGCCTGCCGAAGTAAGTGTATGCGGTCTATCATCCTATCCCTAGTGAGGTCCTCTGATGATGGTCACCAGCTCCTATTCATTGAGGGATTTGTTTTTCAGTTTTTTTCTGGTAACCCCTGTACGGCCCTGTACTACCCACCACCCAAACAGCAGTATTACCTATAGAATGATATGGAAGGGAAATATTATCTTATACTCAAGATGGCGCTGTCCTACCACAATTGATCTTCATCGCCTTTACCGGAGGACACTACGGCCTTTTATTTTTTTAATACCTGTTTTTAAAATGAAGGTTCTCCAGGCGGGACACTAATTTCTGTATTCTGAGAGCTGGATCTTGGTAAAGGAGAACTCCATAATGTCCATCATGCTGGGAGACTCTATCAATGTCCTGCCATCGCACGGTCCTGCCATCGCACGGTCCTGCCATCGCACGCTCCTGCCATCGCACGGTCCTGCCATCGCACGGTCCTGCCATCGCACGGTCCTGCCATCGCGCCCTCCTGTCATCGCGCCCTCCTGTCATCGCGCCCTCCTGTCATCGCGCCCTCCTGTCATCGCGCCGCCTCCAGATTGTGATATTTACTATGTAAGGTGATGATGACGTGTATCCGTCACATCTCTGCCACAGCCCCCTCCCTCTCTGATTGATACACAGCGTTATTAATATTATTATGTGTGCAGTTATCACCATGTAACCCCCATTCTGCTGAGGAAAGGAAGTACGTATAATAATATAAACACGCGATTATGTATGTAAAGTATATACGCAACTATATGTAACTCAGGAAAGAAAGTACGTCTAATGATATCATGTAATATAAATACGTTTAAGAGCATTATTATTATGTGTGCAGTTACAGTGTAACCAGTGCTGCTGAGGAAAGAAAGTACATATCACATCTATACAATGTTAGGATTCACTTCTCCTTTCACCTCGTAATTCCTGCAATCAAATCTCTTCTCTCGCTCTTCTATTTTCTCTCTTCTTCTCCTCCCCCCACATTCCTCCTTCTTCTTCTTCTTCCTCCTTCCTCCTCCTCCTATAGAAGTGTGCAAAATCTTAATGCACCCCAGTCTAAAATGTCATAGATTGTAAGGGGTTCCGTATGCAAAAAGTGGGTTTCCCCCTTCTATTCGTAGTGCACCTTATGTCAAGATTCCCCCCTTTCACTTCAGAGTTCCCCCTTCACATCAGTCTTCATTCCACCCTTCATATCCCAGTCCCACTACAACAACATTTTGAGGCACCCCTGAGGAAGCCAGAAGGCGCACCTGGGCGGGAAATGCCGGTCTAACCCCTCACCACTCCATTGAAAACTAATGAGAAAAAAGTGGGTAAAGTTTCATTTTGAAAACCTGACCTGTAAGTGTCCCCATTGGAGACTTTTCTCACCACTTCCTGTGCTGACTACAGAGACACAGACAGTGATCAGAACCTGACAGAGTTACTTTCAGGTTACTAATCACCCAACACATGACCACCGCTGAGCCTCTGTACACGGCAGCCATGATCATGTGATCGCACACATGGGTGTCAGAAGTGATCTCCATCCGCAGGAGCTTTTCACACTTCAGCCTGAGGCAGGCGCAGAATCGGTTGTCAGAGTTGTGTAATCCAGTTATTGTATCAGCGCACAATGTCTACACACCTCAATGACCCCGAGTGTGTATTTTCATTCCTATTTACCTGGCAGAAATCTCACATCTGGAAGAAATACACAAACCACATCAAGATTCAAGAAGAATACACATAACTCTTGCATGAGGACAATGTTTGCTGATCTCAGAGTTCAGCTTTAAGACTTTAAATGTGTTATCCTTCTTCCATACATTTTTTTGGGGATCTTTTTTGTCTTCCTGTTTTGGTATTTGAGGTTTAATCTCGTAAAATTGGCTGTGCTGGTGACATCTTTCTGTTACTCCGCTTGTTGTTAAACATCCCGTACATGAAACCATATGGCAGACGTGTCCTGCGGCCCACACACATTTCAGTTGTATCCGTACAGACTGGAACGTTCTCTGTGCCCGCGCATCTCTCTCGCGCCCTGTGCATCTCTCTCTCGCGCCCTGTGCGTCTCTCTCTCGTGCCCCGTGCGTCTCTCTCTCGCGCCCCGTGCGTCTCTCTCTCGCGCCCCGTGCGTCTCTCTCTCGCGCCCCGTGCGTCTCTCTCTCGCGCCCCGTGCGTCTCTCAGCCTCTCTCGCGCCCCGCGCCTCTCTCGCCCTGTGTATCTTCTGTGTTCTTATGTACATTTAAAGTACAATGTAACTCAATAAAATAAACCATGTTGCAGACTGGGTTATGCGTCATGTCCCGGCTTTCTTCCGGTGATCCCCGGACAGGTAAGGGCAGTGCTGGCTTTCCTGCGGCTTGCTGTGAAGTGTTTAATCTCCGGTGTGTATTCCGGCTCTGTAGTGCACACGCAGGTCAGGAAACGGATTTAGGGGTCTCATCCAGAGACGATGTGAGAGGGCGGCAGAGGGCGGGATTTGCTGTGATGACTGTTTTTTTTGCTTTATCGGTGTGAGATGTGCTGCTGTGAAATGTTTTTGGTTTGACATTGTTAATCCGCTGAATGCACTTCTTCTCATGGTGAGGTTTTTCTACAGAACTCAACTGATCTATCATATCGGACCGAGCAAGCCAAAATGAGACCCAGGAACAGTGGCCACTGTAAAGCAAGACTGATGACCACCTAGGCCGGGGCTGGACAGATCCCAGGAGCCGGTGTTCTATCGAAAGCTCCAACTCGTTGAAATCTCCAACTACCTCACTGCCGGGTACTTGCAAGTTGGAGATTTCAACCAGCCGGCGTTTTAACAATATTCAGCAGGTGGCAAACTCGAAGAGTTTTCTGAAAACGCTATACGCGCATGCGCAGCGCAACTGTACAGAGCTCCAGTCTTTCTGAGCACTGGAAGTGAGGTAGTTGGAGAGCTTGATGAGTTGGAGCTTTCGATAAAACACCGGGTCACTAATGCTCCTTACAAATGACAGCTGTTGCCTAACTTTTGAAGTTTTCTCTAGGTGTGTTGTCAATGGAGCTGGCTCCTGTAACCCTGTTGGCTGCTGGATTAGGCAGAGGTGACTCTTGAATTCCATATTAATATGTCCACCCCTGACTTGGCCACCATTCTCCCATATGAACTCTAAGTGGGGAAGTTGTAAACGCAACCCATTGTCCTAGTATCCTCAATCCACAGTCATTGTTGTCCATGGTTTTCAAAGGGTAACAGTCCTGAATGAGGAAAACTTGATCCACCAGCACAGAATTATAGGGATGGAATGGAAACAAAGAGCTGAAGGTTCTCTTCCTGCATTATATTGACATGTCAGGAAGATGGCCTCCACTGTAAGATGTCTACATTCAGGATTTTGCCCGCATATTGGATGCTCTTTAATGAAAGGTCCTCAGTATTTAGTGTGAAATGAATTGTCCTTGTTCCCTATTGCTTGTGTATTCTGATATTTCCTGTCCTCCTCTAGATATCCCTGAGGAAGAAGCCAGGTATTGGACCAAGAAGCTGGAGCAGATAAACAGCCTGGAGGAGGCCGGAGAGGTGCGTCTACTAATGGTTGTCTTTGCTGAGGTCACATGGATCTATTACAGTCTGAAGGCCCCGATTCTAGTAAACCTGTGGAGCATATGTGGGGAGCAGAGCAGTTATCTGGGGTCCTCTTCTCACATTAGGTCCACGGCTCTAACAGCCTGAAGGACCCGAATCTGGGGAACGGAGCAGTTATCAGGGGTCATCTCCTGAAATGAGGTCCATGGGTCTATCTGCTTTGTATCCTACAATTTTTATATAAGGTTTTACCAATTTCGATAAAAGACGATGACAAATAATTTTCTGCCACCTCCATACAAATTATATTTTTAGAGCCAATAGGTGTTCAATTCAAAGCTGAACTCCGGCCTTCCCTTCCGTCTTCCCTTCAGTTGTTTCGGCTCTTCTCCTGGATTGAAATGGCTTCCTCTGATGTCACTGCACACAGCGAGCGTCTAACATGGTGCATTAGAAGCTGCAGCAAGTGATATAGAGCCCGCCTCATTTCCTGGCTGGAGGGTGTCCAGCAGCATCTAGCGCTTTCCTCCCCAGCCCCTTGGCCTGCTCCTTTCATTTGTTGGATTTCACTTCTTTGAATCATGGAGGCGCAGCATCACATGTGGGTGTTACCTAGGGTGGTCTACATGCAAATGTATTCTGCCTGGGAACACCCACTCCTCCAGAATGACCTTCACCCATCAAGGAATTTTAGATGTTTGCATATCCCCTCCCAAGATCCATTCCACTGCTTGCATTAGGGTTGAGGGCTCTTGAAAGCAGTACTGTGGCAGGGTGCTTTGATGTTTCTGCAAGGTCTCAGGTGGGCTGGCCACACCTCTTACCTGGCAGCTCCGATCTGCTGTCCGCCGCCTCCTCCACGGTTGCTGACGGGCCCCCCCTCCTTTGTTGCAGGGCCCCGCCTCCTCCATCGCCTGGCCCCGCCTCCTCCTGAACTGCTGACGCCGGGCCCAGTTTCCTCTGCAGGCTGTCGGTGACTCAGCAGCGACTGTGAAGAGGAACGCGGTGCTGCACAGATCACTGACAAGTTGTCTGTGATCTGAATAGCGACACGTACCTTCACATTGCCGCCAGTGACAGCCAGCAGCCTGAGATGCCATAGCGACCCAGGAGTCCCGCACGGCATCTGGGGGATGTCCTGGCCGGGCCCCATAGGGGCCGCCTGGCTCGCTATGGCGATTGTTCTGCCACTGATGAGAACTGTCTCTGTCCTTTTTATGTTCTATGCTTCCAAAACCCTTCAAATTGGGTGCCAAAAGCCCCCCATCTAGGCCCTGGTTGAGGATGTGTGCATAGTTCCCCCTCTGGTTACAATGTATGGATATATTGATCGGTATTGGTTCTCATAAATAGATTTACATCCTTGGGGGAGGGATCACCAGCCCATTCAAGATGAGTGTACATCAGTGGTGGGCAGCTCTGGTATACATGAACATGCGTTGTGTTATTGTGAGTCCCACCTAAAAGTAAAGCTGCTGCCTTACAGCAGACACCAAAAGGAACTTATAATACTATATACATATAAAACACACACACACACACGGGTCGCCTCTTCTTCCAGTTCTGGTATCTTCTTATCTCGTTCTCTGCATACAAATCCGATTTCTTAATCTCAATCCTCCAATCTCCTCTCAGTGTGTGCGGTGCATTTGCTTCATACACGATTATTAGCCGAATCATAAAGGGAGAACAGAAGCTCCAGCTCTTCATTGTAACCAACCACCATTAAAAGTGACAGTTCTGTCATTCCAATCCAGCGAGGTCAGAGTCCCCCCACATAAACCCCATACACATATCACAGATCTCCCCCTTACTGATTATTATTCCTCCCTAGATATCTCTTCCTCCAAGTGTACGGGAGGGAATGAGTCAAACATTGGGGGTAGCACTAGATCTCGTAATTTTTTTTTAGGGGGAACCCCTGTTTTTTTTTTTTTTTTATCGAAGCCCGTGGCCCGTGCATCTAAACAAACTTCCCCCTGTGAACAAAAAAAAGTGAACCGTGAAATCACAGCACACAAAAACGTGCACAAGGGTGCAAGGTCCTTCAAAAGAAGGGATCTACTTCCCGACCCCCCGGGGCGCAAGGCTCCTGACAGGGGTTTGAGACTGGTGGCCCACCGACCCGAAGGCCGGTGGACCCCGATCTTTTGGGGACCTCCCGAAACAGGTCCCTCACAGTACTAGGCAGGGGGGCTCTCCCGAAGAGAAACCCCCCCTCCTGGGTGGGAGGAGACGGAGAACCCTATATAAGGGCACAGAATCTCCTCCCAGCGTCAGGAATAGGCCCCGAAGAAACCTGCACCTTCAGCATCTGTGGGTCAAAATGTGAAAATAACAAACTGCCAAACGTGCATAGAGTGCTTAAATAATACTAAAGTGCCAGTGCACCACTCTGACAGGCCTTAGGGGCCGGAGTGCAAAAATATTGCCCCGGACTAGCCATAAGGCCTGTCCAAGAGGTGAAGTGCAGAAATAAGCAATATGGTGTGTGACTGAGTGCTACAGTGAGTCACACCCAAGTGACTTTCTGAGCACCCCTGGGACGCCACCCCCAGGGGGCACAACACCACGGGCTTCTGCCGCCCCCGAACCCTCCAGCCAGACCAAGCTTCGCATCTGTTCAGTCAGAAAGCCATGTACTGAGCTGTTCCACTGTTATTGGTGCTCATTCCAGCTGAAAGCCAAATCTCCAGGGTTCCTCGGTTCTGCTACTCCGGGTGCAGGGTATCATGCAGCTATACTCCACATGGCGTGGTGTCCCATTCATCTGCATCACATCAATGCATTTTGCTTACGTCGCAGACTTTTGGTACCTGTGCTGTCGGGTACCAAAAAAGCTGAGGGAGGTGTGGAAGAACTCCGGCATCACGTGTGCTTTTACATGCAAATGCAGCCTGCCTAGGAACGTCCACTCCTGCAGACACCCAGCATTTTGGCATCAAGGCATTTTGATATTTGCATAACTCCTCCCAATAACCATTACACTGCTTACGTCAGGCAGGGTGCTGTGGTGTTTTCAGGAAGCTATGTTACAGCACATGGCCGGCCCCCCCCCCCAGCCATGATCTGCCTGCATTGCACAGAGAAGCACAGGGACCTATTAGTGACATAATTGGGTCTAAAATTAGTTATTTAATTCAGAAATATTTACCTAACACTTTGATTAGTATGTTGATTGGGGAGGAGAAACCAGACAAGGGTAAATCTAGGCAGATTAAACTTCAAATTGAAAGGGTGCTTGTTTAGAGCTCCGCGGGGGATGAAGCTTACTTGAGCGTTACATTGCTATGGATGGAATTAGCAACTTAAAAAGTTTGATTTTGTTTTGCCTGCACATATGGAACTCTGCGAAACACTTTAAGTGGCTATTGATTTAAAGGAGATGAGTCTTCCACTGTCCTCATATAGACTTTAGTGCAATATGAATTCTGATGCAGTCCCGGCTGTTTGACTCATTCCCTCCCGCACACTAGGAGGAAGATCTATATACTGAGAATGATTATCAGTGAGGAGGAGGTTTGTGATAAGTGCATGGGTTGGATGTGGGGGTACTCCGGGCACATCTGGTTTGCAATGACAGATCTGTTGGTTGGTTGGTTACAATGTGTTTGTATTTCATTTTTTCGAAGTGGGATATGATGAGTAATAAAGATTTTCATGAGTGCAACTGAGCTTCTATCCTCGCTTTTTCATGTATGGTGTGGCTCATAGCCAGGAGTATGCCAGGAGCCAGCTAAGCAGGAGCCAGGAACATACGCCGTATAGTCTTTGCTGACCAAAAACATACCTGGTACAAGCTTGGTTAGCCAGGAACATACCTGGAGCCAGCTAGCTAGGAGCCAGAAACATAGCTGTACAAGCTTTGTTAGCCAGAAACAAGCCAGCGAACCAGGAGCCAGGAACATAGCTGGTACAATATAACCTTTGCCAGGAACATACCAGGAGCCAGGAACATAGCTGGTACAATATAACCTTTGCTGGCCAGGAACATACCAGGAGCCAGGAACATAGCTGGTACAATATAACCTTTGCTGGCCAGGAACATACCAGGAGCCAGGAACATAGCTGGTACGATATAACCTTTTCTGGCCAGGAACATACCAGGAGCCAGGAACATACCTGGTATAAGCTTTGTTGGCCAAGAACATACCTGGAGCCAGCTAGCCAGGTGCCAGAAACAAAGCTGTATAAGCTTTGTTAGCCAGAAACAAACCAGGAGCCAGGAAAATATCTGGTACAACATAATATTTGTTGGCCAGGAACATACTTGGACCCAGGTAGCTAGGAACATAGTATAACCTTTGTTAGCCAGGAACATACCAGGAGCCAGGAACATACCTGGTATAAGCTTTGTTGGCCAAGAACATACCAGGAGCCAGGTAGCTAGGAGCTAGAAACATAGCTGGTATACCCTTTGTTAGTCAGGAATGTACCAGGAGCAAGCTAGCCAGGAACAAACCTGGTATAACATTTGTTAGCCAGGAACATACCTGGGGCCAGCTGGTCAGGAGCCAGGAACATACCTGGGGCCAGCTGGTAAGGAGCCAGGAACATACCTGGGGCCAGCTGGTAAGGAGCCAGGAACATACCTGGGGCCAGCTGGTAAGGAGCCAGGAACATACCTGGGGCCAGCTGGTCAGGAGCCAGGAACATACCTGGTATAAGCTTTGTTAGCCAGGAACCCCTCTCCTGTGCCCCCTATCCACTGTTTTTACTTCAGTAGTGACTCAAGGTTCCTGACTTCCCATCATTTTGTCTGGGGAGCTAAAATAACACAGATATACTCCCCTGAATCTCAGAGCCGACTGGCTCCTAGACCAGTCTCTGCAGCCTTGCTCCAGGCCTCGGCATCCTCACATCTAATACACTGTATTGGATGCGATAACTCACAGGTCCTTAGACCGCCAGAGTGGAGAAGGAGCGAGGCTGAAAGGACCGGTCTAGCAGCCAGCTAAGTACGAGTTTCGGGTCGGTATATCTCATGTATATCT